CTTTTTGAGAAAGCACCAGACTGCATTCTGTAGTGGCTGTACCATTTTACATCCCCATTAGCAGTGAATAAGAGTTCTAATCACTCCACAACCTCATCAGCATTTGTTGTTTGCTGTTCTGTTGAACTTTGCTATTGTTACTGGCGTTATATTATATCTCATAGTTGTTTTCTTTTTTAAAGAAATTTATTTTTGCTTTTTTTCCCATTCACATTGTGATTCATTGTATCTTTTTTTTTAAAAAAAATATTTTTGTGTGTGTTCCTTCAAATCAGATCTGACTGTTACAGGGGGAGATTGCCCACCTTTTCCAGCAGAGCATCTGGTGGATTTGAACCATGTACCTCTGGGATTACAGTGCAGCTTCTTGCCACTAGGCCACCAGAGCTCCCTGACATACATTGTATCTTACAAAATTAATTACCATTGATCTTTGCCCACCATTATCCTGTCCCTCCAGATCCCCACTGGATATTTCCTAACTTTTTTACCCCCTCTCTCCACCCACTGAACCCTGCAACTCTGTAATTTCCTCCTGGCCCCTCCATCCCTCTTTGGATATCCATACACATCTTACTAGGTCTCCTTCTGTTTTTACATTAATGGGTTTTATGATTTGTCCTTCAGGGCCCATGACACTCAGCAAAATGCCCTCCAGCCTCTCCCATGTTGTATGTTGTTGTTGATTGCCTTCAAGTTGAGAGTGACTCATAGCAACCCTATGAACAAAAGGCCTGAAGCCCCTCTATAAATATTGACATTTGTCCAAGTTCATAGAGTTTCTGGAGGCAAGTTGTTTAGGAAGTGGATGCCACTTCCATGTTGTATAGTATTTTTTAAATCGTTACTCCTAGTGCTGCATAGTATTTAGTCATGTGAATGTACCACAGTTTCTCAATGCAGTTGTTTGTCGATGGAATACACTGCTATGAACATCTGTGCACAAATCAAATCTCTGTTTGTCTCAGTTCTGTTTTCCTTGGAGTATGTTCCTAGCAGTGGAACAGCTGAGCCATATGGAATTTTTATGTTAACTTTTTGGAGGAAGTGCCAAACTGTCTTCCAGAGTGGTTGTACTCTTTTATAATCCCACCAACAGTCTACGAGAATTCCAGTCTCTCCACATTCTCGACAGCATTTGTTACTTACTGTTCTGTTCACTTTTGCCACTGCTACTGGGTTGATACTGCGTTTTTTACTTTCATCTCTTATTACCAGTGATTTTGAGCATTTCTTCATGAGTCTGTTGGCCACCGACATATCTTCCTCTGTGAACAGTCTTTTCATACTTTTGCCCATTTTGTTATTGGATTATCAGTCTTTTTCTTGTGAAGGTCCTGTAGTATTCTGTAAACTTTCATTGTGAGACCCTTGGCTGAGATATCATTGCCAGATGTTTTTTTCCCCAGTCAGTAGGTTTTCTTTTCATATTACTGGAGAAAGTTTTTGATGCACACAGGGACTTAATCTTTAGAAGGTTCCATTCATCAGTGTTATTATCCTCCTCTCCTGGTTATGCAGAGAATTTTTTTCCCTTGACATTGAAATGCAATCTAGCTTGAAGCCTGCAGACTTTGATCTTCTATAAGTGCTGTTAAGTCTTCACTTTCAGAAAGCAAGTTTGTGTCTTCTCCATAGTGTAGGTTGTTGATGATGTTGTTGGTTACCGTCAAGTCCAGTACGAGTCATAGTGACCCTGTAAACAAAAGGCCTGAAGTCTTTCTATAACTATCAACATTTGTCATAGTTCATAGAGTTTCTGGAGGCATATTGTTCAGGAAGTGGATACCATTCCTCCTGCTTCTAAACCTGATGTCGTCCTCAAATCCTGGGGTCACATTTTTCTTCATAGAATCCCATTTCTTGAATAATTTGCTCAGTTCTCAGATTGAATAACTATAGAGAAAGGATACAACCCTGACACACTTCTTTGCTGATTTTAAATCATATAGTGTTTCCTTGCTCTGTTTGGACAGCAATTTCTTAGTCTGGATACACATTTTGTATGAATATATTTAATTGTTCTGAGATTCTCATTTTTCTCAAGTTAACCATAGTTTGTTATAATCCACACATTCTTCTGGTATTCTCTGCTTTAGCCAGGATCCATCTGACATTAGCAGTGATAACAGCTAATAATAATCAGCATGTAATAATGGTAATAAGCAGTGTGCGTCAGCCTCATCTAAACCTCACTTTAACCTCTGGCATTTTCCTGTCTGTGTACTGTTTGAGCTGTTTTTTTTATGATCTTCAGTAATATATTCTTTGTATGTGATATTAATGGTTGTTGTGGTTGTTGTTCTTGTTGTTATGTGCTGTTGAGTCACCTGCGACTAATAGCGACCCTATGTACAACAGCCCTGAACTCCGCTGTCCTGTGCCAATCGCACT